GCACCTCAAAACCAGGCACTCCCAGGATGCCTCAGAAAGGCCATAGAGATTGCTGAGAGAGCATTTTTCGCAAAGGTCGCATATTGAACTTGGGACCACAGAGGCCCAAAGCATTCATCCTGGACTGAGGGCACCGGGGAGCTCTTGTGGATGCCCATGTTGACCATGGGTTGATGCCGCGAGGGGGAAAGACCTCATCCTCCCAGTCTGCTCTGATTCCTGATCCCTAGGTTGGACTCCTGGACACAGATGAAGCCCCTCACCTACAGGATGGAGGGGGGCCTGAATTCACTGCCCAACCCCCAACTTGATTGTGATCACCTGAACAAAATGAAGTTAAAGTTCTATCATGTGGTGTACGTTCTAAATTAAGCCCGACTCTGTGGTTTGGGTCTGGATGTCCTCTAGGTGTCAGGTGCTCAGAGGTGCCACATACGGAAAGGAACTGGGTCGTGAGGGCTCCTCCCTCATCAGTAGGTGCACTGTTCACTCATGGCTGCATGGGCCACGGGGAAGGGGGACCTGGCTGGACGGGATGCCGGGGACCGTTCGTCTCCTGCCCCTTCCTCTCTCTCTGCTTCCCAGCTCCAGTAGCTGAGCGGCTTTCCTCCCCCATGTCCTTCTACCACCAGGAAGCGCTGCCTCACCTCAAGCCCAGAGCAGTGCAGCTACATAAGCCCCAAACCCCTGACACCAGGAGCCAAAACAGACCTTTCCTCCTCTAAGTTGTTTTGCTCAGGTTATTTGTCATAGTGACAGAAGCTGACTGACACAGCTGTAGAAAAGTTAAACACCATTTCTAACATGTATTAGTGACTTCAATTCACACTCATTATACATGTAAAAACATGAGCCTTTTAAACACTGTGTAGTATTCCTACAGATGGGAAAAATCTCTTCCTTAAAAGCCCTCTGGACTATCAGAGGAATGAACACCCAAACACCCAAGTCCAAGTCCTCTTCCACACCTAACAGGGATGGTTTCCAGGCTGAGCACACTCTGAACTCCTCAGTTCTGGAAAGCATTTCTGCTGCCTCTTTGATCTCAGTTCCTGTGGCAGGACTGTGTCTCAGTGGCTCACTGTCTTAGTTTCCTATTGCTCTATAACAAATGTCTACAAACTTTGTGTCTTAAAATTTATTTTCCTGTATTTAGAGCTCAGAGTCCTAAGCTGGCCTCTGTGGACTCAAATCAAGGTCTTGGCAGGGCTGGAGGCTCCAGGGGAAAGCCTGTCTCATTTTGTCCAGTCTGCAGGCTGCCCACACCCTGGGACACGGGCCCTTCCTCCATCTGCAAAGTCAGCGGCAGCTCCTTCAGTTTTTCCTACATCCCACTATGCTGCATGCAATTTTCCTTCCTCCTCCTTTCACTCATAAGGACCCTTGAATTGCATTGGGCTTCCTCAAGTGACTCAGGGAATCTCCCCACCCCAAGATCCTTAATCACATCTGCAAAGTCCTTTTTGCCACAAAAAAATAACATACCTACAGATTCCAAAAATGGGGACATGGATATCTGCTTCCCACATTCACTAGGTACCAGATTCTGGGCCAAGCTTTAAGGAGGCAGCCACATTCTAAACACCCTCTCTGCCCGTCCAGGTGCTCTCCGACTACACAGGGAGATACGCACACGCACGCCGGTTTACATGAGGTGGTCATCTCTGGAGCAGCCAGAGGGACAGCAAGCCTGCAGCTCACTTTCTTGCAGTGCACCGTCCATGGCAAACACACGTCTGTTCACATCTTGCCAGAGCTAGGTGTTTATGCCCCTCTCTGGTTCCCACTGAAGGAACCCAAAATACCACTCTTGTCTTTTCTGATGCTGTGGCAAAACATAGTACTCCAAGTGATTATAAATAATAAAAATGCACTTGTCCCAGTTCTGAGGCTGTAAGGCCAAGCTGAAGGCCCCGGTAGACTCACTCAAACCAATCCCCTCTGCTGGTTCGCCTAGGGGTGGGCGCCTGACCCTGCGCTCTCCCTTGCAGGACGGAGCACTGCTGCCACGTCCCCCTGGGGGAGGCCAAGAGGCACCTGCTGGCTCTCTCCCGCCACGCTGGTGAGAGCACTGGTTCTACTCACGAGGGCAGAGTGTTCAGGACTCACACTCTGCCCCACTGGGCAGCAGGTTCCGATGCAGGGATTTTAAGGATACACATTTCCATCATCGCAACTCTGCTTTATCCATTTATGGCCATTTTCTATCTTTCTTAGATTCTCTATTTTATTTTCACACACAAATGTTAATGGTCTTCATGCAGGTGCCTCACCAGTCCCTCCGAACGTGAAGAAGGTTCGCCTCTTTTTGCAAACCTCACTGCCCTGTTGTGCACAAGTGTCACTTGCTCCATTAATGGCTACACTGTCGTATAAGTGGTGTGTGTGTGATTTCTTTGCTCGGGCCTCAGGTTGACAAAGGAAAAGGAGCAATGTGCTAGTTGATGCTTCTACACAGAAAGGATCTATCCACACAAACTTGTTCTTTTAAAAGAACATTTTTGGGCCACCATCGCTGCTTTCTGTATTGTGCTTGAGGTGGCTTCTACCACAAGACAATGGATTTCATTAATTCAGTGTTTTCTCCTAGCTGTCTTTGATGTTGGCAATTTAAAGGCCAGAGTTTAATTACATATGACATGTGGGGAAAATGGCCGTGCCTGCTTCTTTCAGGCCAGTGGCAGGAAATCAAGAAAGAGAAATCACCAAATCCGTTAGCCCTGCCTAAGCGGGGCACAGTGGCAGAACGTGTCTCCTCTTACCTGACACAGATCCAAGTTGAACACAGATCCATTTGCTCACTAGACAAAACTACCAAGTGCTGACCGCATACAAAGCACGGGTCCATGTTAACCCCTCAGAGCAAGTAAAGGGCCCCAACCATGTGGTTACATCCAAAGTGTTTGAAAAATTAAAATCTGCACTCAATAAAGATCAGACCAAATCCAGAGCCTTTAAGAACATTGTGTGTACTGGAGAGGCTGACCCTCTGTGAGCAACCATGAGCTGGTGGGTGAGCTGTCCACACCCCACCCATGGATGGGTCTCTCTGGACTGAGCTTGAGTGGGTGGGGTTAGCTTAGCCTGACTCTGGTGAGCTGAAGGCTACAGAGTTATGAGCAGTGAACATCCGGGGCAGGACACTCTGCCTAATATTGCATCCCCAGAGGTCACTTTTGACTGACATAAGAAATACATCAATAATTAGCCCTTAAGATGCAATTCTCTGTTGGCCTAATTAGCAGGCCATGTTCACGAGTAATAAAAGCAAATAAACCAAGGTACAACTCCTTTTAAAATACAAAAGGGGTTAAAAGCAGCATTAGGGTGCTGATGCAAAAAAAAAAAAAAATAAAAGTGGAATGGACCAAGTCCAGAGTCTGAGGAAGGTGGTCCAGCAGAGACGGGCAGAAAGGTGTCTTCTGCGATGTGGCAATTTTATTAGGGAGTGCCAGACAGGGGGAGCATGCTGTTGTCGGGTCGGCACGAGTGGTACCAAGTGGAGCGTCCTGACTGCTTGTGTATGCAGAGGATTTCTGCAAGGCCACACAGCTAATGGATCACCACAGGTCGGCAGTGGAAGATGGCCTGGGCCTCTGGAAAGGTGGGAGAAGGACTGACTGAGGCCGGGCTAGAATTTTCTCTGTATTCTTTCTGAGTTTTGAATTGTGGATGATGAACTACTTACAAAAGTAAATAAAGTAAAAACAAGTCAGTAGCAATCTCCAGCTCAGAAGTTAGTGGAAACAAATGGCTTGTGAATACAGCTAGTTCGTAAGCATTGATGTGCCGGGCACAGGGGTCCAGGAAGGCCCCACTGAGATCAGGCTCTGGAGAGCTCGCAGGCCATGAGCTGTCATGAGAGCGAGGCTTCCAGGGGGAAGAAGCCCGGAGCAGGAAGAGAGAAGCTGGCTCCTTCCGAGACGGTGCCAGGACGAGATGGACCGCAGCAGAAGAGCACAGAACAAAGACGACCACACCAGCGTCCCTTCCTGCCGGGTCTGCAGAATTAACATGGAATTTCTGAACCTCGGGTCTGCGAGACACTGACCTTCTCGTTTTTTGCCGAGCCCTCTGGACTAATGTGGCCTCAAACTGCTTCTGCCGTGGCTTGAAAATTGACTAATATGTGGTTTGCACTTCACAAGGATAAACATCACCATTGCAACTGAGCCAAACTGACACGCTCATAGGTCACAGTGAGCTGAGCAGGAATTTCATCCCAAATCCTCACCACGGGGCATCGTGGGAATTTTACGAGAATCTTCATATTCATGAAGCTTAATTATAGCAAAATTGCCAATCTGTAAAATACAGCTGCATTTGAATACTACTTTCAAGTCTGAAACATGAACAAGGAGACTACAGTCCCCTCGAGATGCCCACGGTTTGCACAGAGAAGCACCAGTGAGAGGGAGGGGGCCGGGAGGAGGGAGGGCGAAAAATAAAACAGATCAAGAGGTGCTTTATTTACCCAGAAAAATGCAAGTGCCAATCACAGGAAGGGGCTTATTATGTACTTGTAATCAACCATAATATTCAAATTGGTGAATAAAGAATCAAATAAAGTCATGAATTTAAGACATTAGTCCTAAAGATAATACAGATTTTAGCTACTGAGAGGCAGGGGACAGTGCAGAAGCTGTCACGCGTTCCTTTTTGGTCTGCTAATGGGCCAGAGAGCCTGCATCTTTAAGTCCCTGCAGTGATCAACTCTAGATGCCGAGCGAACACTGCCTGGGGAGGAAGGGACGCAGACCGGGGTGCCTGAGCAGCTCAGGAGCAGCACTGCCCTCCTGGTCTGCCGACCTGCTTCCAGAGTCAAAACTATGTACGTGTTTCTAATCATTTGATAAAATCTGAGGCAGCTCGGTCCTGGCACAATCTTGATTTTCTAGCAAAGAAATGACCTCAGCCCTGTGCATTCTCCTCCCCACGTTCGGAAGGGTTCTGGGTGTGCTCTGGTCCCACGTAACACACAACACACTTCCGGTCCACAACTGCCTGGGCTTAAGACAAAGCCAGGCAGTTTCCCTGTGCTCCCACCAGTTCTCACGGTTGGCTGAGATCACCAGCGAAGGCTCGCGTCCCTCTGTGGTCAAGCATCTCCTGACACTTTTAAAGCGCGAGCTGATGAGCACACGGGAGACAGCACACGGCGTGGCCACGTAACTCCCAGGTAAGCAGAGACCAGGGGCATTTTGGAATTTGAAAAGACCTTTGCCTAACAATGTCACCTGGTGAGCAAGGAGGTAGGTGTGGCCATCACAGGGACAGAGCCCCTGAAGTTGCACAGATCAAGGAACACACACCCAATGAGCAGCAGAAACAGGACCTGGCCATGGATCTCTTTAACTGGAAAATCCAAGTCCTTAAAGGCTGGACACTGCTGCCTGCCTCCAGACCCTGAAGAGATGACCAGAGAGGAAGGAGGGGAGCTGGGCGGGGAGGGAACAGGATGTAAGAGGACAGGGAAGGGGCCATCAGTTCTGATGAGCAGGGAGGAGGCTGGCCGCTGGCCAGAAGGCATGTGGGTTTATACTTCAGAGCAGCAATGGCCGCTCACGTCCTCGAACCTTCTCTGCAATTCTAAAACCAGAAGATACCTCAAAAACGAGAAAGCGCTCTCCTGACTCCCCTGCGGGCCAATCCTGGATCACAGTGGCACGAGGCTCTATGGGTCCTGGTTTGCTGCACACAGAACAACAAGTCCAGGTCCTGCCGCAGTGCCCCTGAGAGAGGCAGAGACCTGCAGATTGACACACACACAGCCGCAGTTCTGCCTGAAACCCAGGAAATTACGAAACACACATGCCCCCCCCGCCCCCCCCCCCGTGGTAGGGCTGGGAGCAGGGGCATCTGCTGACCAAGAACCCCTCCCCCCAAAATGTCCTTGACAATCAGAGCAAACAGAAAACAACTTGTGGTTGAAACCAACCAACGACAACATGAACTTAATAAAAGGAAATGCACGTCAATAAGCTCAGAAACAGCTGCTGCTGTTCCAAGGGAACCCACAGCCCTGCTGTGGTGATGGCCCTCCACTCCCCTCCCTGCAGGCCTGCTCCCTGCTCCTGCTCTGGGTGCTGAGCATATTTGTACGCCCCTGGATCACCACTGTGGGGCCTTGACGTTTCAGGAAGTAGGACATCTGGGGCCACTATTTCTGGATTTGAGGTGATTGATAAAATGCCTGAAGTGAATATTAGCATGTAAAATATCACTTGCATACATTTAAAAGGCATTCCAAATGACAGCTTCTATGCTTGCCAATTCACAAGGTACATGGTAAAGGTCCCCAAATATGCCTAGAAAAAGTGAGTGGGGTCTTACTTCTACTTAACATGGTCATTTGCAAAAAGAAAACGAATTAAATGGGGCAAAGTAAAACCTCAGCCTGTGCGTTGGATTTAAGTACCTGTTGTGTTGTTCTCTGTCCTGTTTCTTTGAAACGCATTCTTTCAACAACAAAAACACCCCTCACTGAACACCTGGTCTGTGCCAGAGAACAAGAAGAAGGATCCAAGAGACGGCCTCACCACGGGGAGATTCCACAACTGAAATGACAACTGTGCGCCATCCACCGCATCTCCACAGGGTTGAAGACAAACTGACCTTTCTCAGTACAGATGCACACTGTGCTCATGTGCTTCCTTGCTGCTGGTGGAGTTTGAGCTGATTAAAGCAGTAATAAGAGATCACCCCATGACAGGGACAGGATCCCAGACTCCAGGCACAGCAGGGGGTCATACACAGGAGGTCCCTGGAGATCTCTGGAAGCAGGACGTCTGCTTGGTCTGCCCAAAGGGATGAGGCAACAGGAAAACAGTGTCCAAAGCTAGCCCTGCTTCTCTGAGCCAGTCTCTTGCCTGGTAAACGAATGCCGGCACTGTGGACACCACGTAAGTAAACACTGGAAGGAATGAGTAAAACTGTGCGATTGAGGTTGTTTTGTTACTGAAATATCCCTATGAAGACATGCCTCTGGTTTTCGAAGCACTTACGGAATTAGAGCACACACACGCACAGAGCCAGCCCCTTGGCAGCCTCTGGGGACCAGGGCTTGGAACGCGCTCCAGACCTGCCCTGAAGCGTGAAGAATGAGGCCATTAAGCTGTAAAAAACATTCGTGAAAAGAAGGAAACCCTAGATTTATGAGCACTGATGGTTCCATGAGAAACAAGTGTCTCAAGAAGGCTCACTGACTCTGGCACCTGCAGCCTTCAGCTCTGAGGACCCCCCTCTTTACAGCCATCAAAATTACTGTCAGAACAGATGCATCAATCTGTGTGCATGCTTTGTTTTAGGCATGATGGTTCCCGAGTGCTAGCTTGAGACTGGCCTGCTGACATTCAAGAGCACACCCATCAGAAGGGACACCTCGGCCGGAGCCTGCGCTGACCCAACCTACTCTTAAGGAAGAGCACTGGATTGGCCTTGGAGGAACCATCCATGATGAATATGGAACCAAGATACCAGCACTATGTCCCTAGCCATGAAGACTGGCTCATAGAAGGGCAGGTGATATGACCATCCCAGGGACTTTGAGAAAGGGCATTTTGGTTGGCCTGCCAAGGCGCCAACCTAACCCAGAGATAAGTGCAGGAGACTGGCAGCAAGAGGGAGAGGTGCTGCTGTCAGAGCTTTTAGGACATCTTGATACAGCCAGGCCTGAAGGCAGATAACCCTAGAATTTTCATGTATATTGCTCAATGACATCATCTTTTATTTCTTGTGTCACTTGCATTCAAGAGTCCTGACTGATATAAATTATTTCCCAACTTTAGAACTCATTCATTGCTGAAAAAATGAATGAGATATAATACTTTTGAATTATAAGCTTATAACATACCTGTGTGTGTGAGTGATTATGTGTGTGTGTGTGTGTGTGTGAGAGAGAGAGAGAGAGAGAGAGAGAGAGAGAGAGAGCACTCAGAGAGAGTAAGCGCAAAAACCCAAACTCGAATTAGGCCACAAGAAATGCATGAATGACACTCATGGTCACAAAGTCACCCTTCCCTTCCTAAGTGTCCTCACCTGCACATGTCCCCTTATCCATAGGCCTGAATAAAAAGCAGAAATGCTGCCAACAGTCCAAGAAATACCATCTCCACCCGGACCCTGTGTATGCAGAACCAGCTGAGAAGTCCGTAGGGAAATTTGCATTCACATGGAAGGTATCACAGTCTATTTTCTGTTACTATAATTGCAAACAACAGACTGAGTAGTTTATAAAGAATAAAGGTTTATTTGGTCCGTGGTTCCAACGACTAGAAGTTCAGGATTTGGCAGCTGCATCTTCCAGGGCCTTCCTGCTGCAGTGGACTCTATAGGTCCCCAGCAAAGCATCACGTGGTGAGACCCAGCAAGACTGCTTGCTAAGTGGGGGGTCTCCTTTATCTTACAAAGTCACTAGCACCATCACAGAGGCCCACCCTCGTGACCTCATCTCATCTAATTATCTCCCAAAGGAGATGGCCAAACACTGTGGCTGGACTGTTTCACCCTCTCAGTTCCTCCTTAGGGGGATTAAGTTCCAATGGGAATTGTGCTAGGGACACAAACCTGGCAGAGAGAGCAAATAGGGACCCTCCCCAGGACCCCCATCCTACAGTCCCATCATATTGGCCGAGAACTGGGCACTGTCCTTGGGTGTCATCAAGACCTGCCAGAGTCTGCTCCTTAGAAAAGGCATCCTCAGGAACAGGAAGAGGTTCCTGTCCGCTCACTCTGGGGTGGAAGCAGAGGACCTGGGCTTCAAGCCACCCAGATGGGAGTCCCCACCCACAGCATGGCAGCCCGCACACCAGCCTGAATGGCAGACGTACATACATTCAACTTGCAGAAGAGCTTCCAAAATATGCACACAGGGGCCCGAACCCAGCCCCAAAGACAGACCTCGGAGGCCGCTGGCATGTGCAAGACTCCACCCAGGTGGATGACATACAGCAGGGCTGAGCGCCCACCGCCTTGCTGCCCGGGGCAGCCCTTGGACCAGGAGATTCCACAGCACCATGGGGCTCGTTAGAAATGCAGAATCCCAGGCCCTGCCTCAAACTGCTGAGTCAGAATTTATTTTAATTAACAAGATTCTCAAGAGATTCACGTGTGCCTAACAGTTTAAGGAGCACTGCTCTGGGAGAGAGGAGATAAAGGTTTGTCTATCGGATTAATAGGGTGTATCAAAATGGGCTCCAAGTCCCACTGGAGGAACTAAGGACTGTGGAGTGGCCTGAAGATTCAGATGGGCTACAGACTGCCCAGGAGGAGCCCCTCTTCAGTCCTGCAGGATGATGCTATGAAAACAGAGTGAATAGAAAAAGAGAAAGCATAAAAATCTAGCTAAGATGAGGCCAGGTGGTAGAGGGTAGACAGGCTCCAGCTCAGGAGGTAGCTGTGTGACCCCTCACCCCAATACGCACGACAGATTCTAAGTTCCCTGGGTGCAGGGCTTGTGATTCTGCTACTCACAGCATGTCTACCAAGCCAGGCACAGAATCTGCACGTAGTAGGTGTTCATTAGGCAGTCATTGAGTGACATGGCGTCCTGAACAGGGGAAAGTTCCATCACTTGTTCATTTTGGCACTTCTCTGATTCCGTGCCTCCTCTCTGTGGTCTACTTAGATTATTTATTTTGAAAACAAACCAAAAACTTGGCAACAAGGAGCTCACCCACAAACAACCCTGTAGCAGACAGACAGGAAGGGTCCATGTCCCTGGGAGCACCGTGTGCGAACTCTACCTAGCAGGTCTCCTAATGGTAGCGAGTGCATGTAGCCCCGGGGGTGGTCACTAAGCACACAGTCACTGAGCCACCCCCAGCCACACTTCTAACACCCACAAACAGCCCCCTACCCCTCCCGGGGCTCAGGGTCTCGTGCCTTCCACTTGGGCAACACAGTGTTAAAGGACACCCACCTGCTAAAATTGCCTTTACATTTCCTCAAGTGTTATTACAATTTTAATCCTATAATTTACTTATTTTTCATTTTCTAAGGATTAATTTTTTCAACCTATGCCTATAATAGAAATCAATCCAAATTCAATATCATCAGCAACATTCTTCGAAACCGTACTAGGAAAATATAATTCTCATGGCGGTTTTTGAGGCTGTCTGTAAAATAGAATACCACCACTTAATAGTGTTTGAGGTCAGTTTATTCAGGTCTTTATGGAAAATCAATTTTTTAATGTTCTTATTTAAAGAGAAAAGATGCAATAATTTTCAATTCAAATGTGGTAAAAGACACACACTATGAAACTGACCATCCTGACCACTCTTACGAGTGAGTACAGCTCAGGAGTGTCAAGCACAACCATGCTGTTGTGACCCCTCACCGCCCGGCCTCAGAACCCTCTACCTAGCCACATCTGACTACCTGTCTATTAAAGAGCTTCCCATCCCCTTTTGCCGCCCCCCAACCTCCATTCTACATTCTATGTTTATGAATTTGACTACTCTAGAGATCTCGCCTAAGTGAAACCAGGCACCACGTGTCCTCTTGTGTCCTTATGCGATCACTCAGCATAATGTCATCGAGGTTCATTGCCATTCAACCAGGTGTCAGAACTTCATTCCTTTTCAGGGCTGAAAAATATTCCATTGTAGGTCTGCCCCAGGTTTTCCTGTTCCTCCATCTGTCTATGAGTATTTGCATGACTTCCACTGTGAGTCACGCTTCTGTGGACCTGAGTGTACAGTAACTTCTTAATGATGGATTTTTAAAATCATGTGCCCAGTTGTTTTTGTACCAGTGATTGAGCATTCCTAACTAAAGCAGAATTGATTTAAATAAGTAGCAGACAAGTTGAGTGTTAAAAAATATGATTTTCCTCACATAGTTTGTATAAGAGAAAACCCCTCGAGCTTCATCAAATAGAGCTCTCCTGTTCACTTAAGGAGAATCCACCCTGACTTACAGGCAGGAGCCGAGAAGAACTCAGAATCACGGCCCTGCAGCATGAAGGCCTGAGCAGGCTGTAAACACTCGGGTTAGAAACAGCACAGTGAGTTCCCAAAGAGACCCTTGTATCCGGGACCACGCTTGCTTTCTTGGGGAGATATAAAAGTTCATTTTCCTCACCTCATGACTGTAGGAGAAAATGTATGCACTGCTCTAAATGGAGGAGTATTTGGAGAGAGATCAAAGAGAGCAAAGGAAATGATCCAAAGTTTGGAAATTGTAAAACTTATAACAAGAGGTTAAAAGAATTTCTTCTTAAGAAGAAAAGGTTGAGGTTCTAGCCTGAAAAAAAAAAAAAACCTTTACACACTGACATGAATAAAGAAAGGGATAACTGTGGGCTAAAAAGAAAAATAGTTTAAACTTATGAAGGTGAATTAGAGTCAGGCTCCTCAGAAGCCCTACAGAAATTGAACATGGAACGTCAGGAGAATATAAGGCCATGCCCAGACAAAAGAGCAGAGCGATGCTGTATGAGTCATGTCAGCTGTTGTAACAAAGAGCACCGTGTGGGAGGCTTCAATTACACAAGTTTATCTCTTCATGGTTCTGGAGGTCAGAAGCCCAAGCCAGGGCTCTCTTCAGACTGGCAGAGAGAGGCACTGCTCCTCTTGTCAGGACACTTGAGTGGGTGGCCTGGGGCCCCCATGGTAACCTCATTTGACTTTAGTTACTCCTGGAGCACCCCACCTGCAACACAGTCATGCAGGAGCTAGGACTTCGACACGGGACATTTAGGGGGCACACAGTTGAGTGTTTTTGTACTTAGCTAAATAAAAGTAGCCAGCACATCGTGCCTAATACCACCGCACAGGCAGGACACACGTCCACCTGGCCTTCATGCTTCTCCGGTGCACGCGGCTCACTCTCCTCCATTTCCACTAGTCTGAGGTCAGAGCAGGGACGCAGCGCAGTCAGCGAGGAGGCAGAGCTGCAGCACCCAGGACAAAGGCCAAAGGGCCCAAAATGAGAAGGCAGCTCCCAGGAAGGCGGTTGGCAGGGCCGGCAGGTGTCCTGAAGCCCTGGCCAGGCGGGCCTGGAGGCCGTGCTGGTGAGCCTGGGGTGAACAGGACCCCCCACATGCCCCAGGAAGGCAGTTCCCACGGGCTTTCCCTCCACCACAACTACTCCATTTCTGGTTCATAAGAGTAAACCCTAGGATTTTTACCTTTCCATAGCCAAAATACAGAGTCTCCCTCAAGGATCGCTTGCTTCTCACCTGTGATCCCTCAATACTGCACTCACTCCATAACGCGTCATAACCTCCCCAGGCATCACTCAGACCGTCCCCTCTCCCCTGCCCCCGATGGGCCACTCAAGTCATGTCTCCTAGCAACTCTTCCCATGAAGCATTTGCTGCAGGCTCCTGATTCTCCACACGCAGCGTGGCACATGGACCCAGATCCAGCAGTTCACCACTGTGCCCACAACAGACCCAGACGCTCCGATGACCGAGAGGAGGGACTGAGTCCCTGGCCCTGGCCTGCCCTGCCCTCCCTCTCCAAGCTCCTCTTACTCTTTGCTGTGACCACGGTGCCTCTCTGCCTGGGGACCTGCATGTGGCAATTCCCTCTTGTTACTCCATCTTTGCCACACACCATACCTGGACCAGCTGGAGGTGGCCACAGCACTGCCTTGTTGTAGTCAGGATAAAAATGACAGCCAAAGAGGTACAGAAGGGAATTAGAGTCCAGCAAAACCCAGTGTCTGTATACTGTAGTCCATAAAAATAGGACTTTCAAATCCTTTCCACCTACCCACGGTGTTTGCTCCTGTGCAAATATCTAGTGCACGTCTAACCCTGAACCACCCTTCCCAAGGCCTCAAGGAAACCTACTTCATATAAACCAACTGTAATGAACTTAACTTTCAAAGTATATTTTCTA